AGGTTTTCGCCCTTTTGCGGGGGCGGAAGGGGGCGTGGCTCATTTTTTAAATACACTGATTTCAGTGTGAGCATACAGCAGTCTGGTGGCTCTAGCTCTTATAGTCTCTGAGAACTAGCCGACAAACAAGACGGACTCGGCTATTGATGCTGATCAAGAATATATATACTTTATGGGGTCGGAAACGCTTCCTTCTGTGCGTTACATACAACCGTTATTCGCACAAATACAATATACCCTATTTACTCTTTGAGTACCGGGTATAAAAATGACCATGGTACATATCAATCATTTGCTCCGTTTAATAATTCGACCCAACAACCCAAAGATTACCAATCATACGCTCAAGATGCTGCAGGAAATAGTACCTCGAACAAGTCTCTAGAAGAATAGAACAGCCTTTAGAAAAACAATCTCAATTTACCAATAATTTACTTAACATGATAATGTTACTTGTTAATAAGCTATGCAAGTAAATCTAAACTTAGGAATATGGAATGCCAATGAGCTTTACAACCATATAAATGAAATAGCTTTATTTTTAAAAACGAATGCCATTGACGTCCTGCTTATTTCAGAAACACACTTCACTAGCAAATCTTTTTTTAAAGTTATTGGATACGACACAGTAAGAGCTGCCCAGCCATCAGATAGAGCGCATGGAGTTGCTGCAATTATTGTCAAGCAGCGCCTTGAATTTCAAATCATGGACAGTATTGGGGAAAACGCTATGCAGGCTGCCACAATTCAGATAAAATGTATGCACGCAGATGTATCAATAACAGCGATTTATCTCCCACCACGATTCACAATAAAATAACTCGATTTTCAAAACTTTTTCCAAGGACTGGGAACAAAGTTTATAGTGGGAGGCGACTTCAATGCCAAACATCCATGGTGGGGATCCAGATTAACTAACCCGAAGGGATCGGAGTTATACAAATGCATACGAAACAATAACATAACGACTTTGTCAACTGTGTGCCCATATAGTAGCCAACTGATAGTCGAAAAATACACGTCATTTCGTAGTATTCNAACTGCAACGAAGATCATGCTGCTAGTTACAAAGGGTGTAAAGTCTATCAGGATATTATATCAAAAAAAATAGTAAGCGGACGCAACCACCAGAGAAACACCAAAGATGACAAAAATAAAAATGACCATGGTACATATCAATCATTTGCTCCGTTTAATAATTCGACCCAACAACCCAAAGATTACCAATCATACGCTCAAGATGCTGCAGGAAATAGTACCTCGAACAAGTCTCTAGAAGAATAGAACAGCCTTTAGAAAAACAATCTCAATTTACCAATAATTTACTTAACATGATAATGTTACTTGTTAATAAGCTATGCAAGTAAATCTAAACTTAGGAATATGGAATGCCAATGGGCTTTCCAACCATGTAAATGAAATAGCTTTATTTTTAAAAACAAATGACACAACAATGACACAACAGCTTATTTCAGAAACACACTTCACTAAGAAATCTTTTTTTTAAGTTATTGGATACGACACAGTAAGAGCTGACCATCCATCAGATAGAGCTCATGGAGTTGCTGCAATTATTGTCAAGCAGGGCCTTGAATTTCAAATCATGGACAGTATTGGGGAAAACGCTATGCAGGCTGCCACAATTCAGATAAAATGTATGCACGCAGATGTATCAATAACAGCGATTTATCTCCCACCACGATTCACAATAAAATAACTCGATTTTCAAAACTTTTTCCAAGGACTGGGAACAAAGTTTATAGTGGGAGGCGACTTCAATGCCAAACATCCATGGTGGGGATCCAGATTAACTAACCCGAAGGGATCGGAGTTATACAAATGCATACGAAACAATAACATAACGACTTTGTCAACTGTGTGCCCATATAGTGGCCAACTGATAGTCGAAAAATTCCATTCATTTCGTAGTATTCTCTGGAATCCCACAATCACACATGCGAATAATGGAGAGCTTTGACCTTAACTCAGATCATTCTCCAATAATAGCAACTTACAGCACAATAGCCCATATGTTGGAAAAGCCCTATAAAGTCACCCTGCCAAATGAGCTTGCCTATTAAAAGCATTAAATATGAAGAAGTTGTGACAGAAATCAAATGCTTGAACAATAAAAAAGCACCAGGCCCTGATAAAATATATGGTATGATATAAAATATATCACCCTCAAAAGTTTACCACCAAAATGCATTCGGTTTCTCATTCTTATATATAACGCGATTCTCAGACTAGACCACTTTCCAAGTCAATGGAAATGTGCAGAGATCGTTATGATCCTAAAGCCAAACAAAATAGAAACGGAATTGACATCATACCGTCCCATTAGTCTGTTGACAATATTCTCGAAAGTGTTTGAAAAAATACTATTGAAGAGAATGTTGCCATTTTTGGACGAACTTTCCATCATTCCTAAATACCAATTCGGATTCAGGAGGGGTCACGGGACCCCTGAGCAATGTCACAGGGTTATTAATGATATAGTTTCGGCTTTTGAAAACAAAAATACTGCACTGCTGCATTTCTTGATGTTCAACAAGCGTTCGATCGAGTCTGGCACAAAGGTTTGTTGTACAAGATAAAGAAATGGCTACCTGCTCTGTAATATTTATTAATCAAATCATATCTGGCTAAAAGATGCTTTTACGTGCAGCAGAAAACCGATACTTCATCACTACTTCTCATCACCGCAGGCGTCCCACAAGGAAGCGTATTGGGACCAATTCTCTACACCCTATATACGGCCGACATTTCAGTTACAAACAACTGCACTGTTGCAACATATGCTGATGATACAGCTGTTTTTGCCACAAGCACATCTATAAATGAAGCTTCCGAACTCCTGCAGAGTGAGCTAAGCCTAATTGAAGACTGGTTCCATCGATGGAAAATTAGAATCAACTTCCTGAAATTCGTCCAAATAACGTTTTCATTTTGAGCAGGTAACTGCCCAAATGTAACACTTAACGGCTCACCAATTCCACAAAGTACCTGTGTGAAGTATCTTGGCTTGCATCTCGACCGCAGATTAACATGGAAAAACCACATTTAAGGAAAATGTCAACAACTCTAAAACTAAAACACTAAAAATGTCCTGGTTGATAAGTCGAAAATCAGAAACCACTTTGGAAAACAAAATTCACCTCTAAAAATCCATACTGAAGCCTGTTTGGACCTACGCTATACAGCTCTATGGGACTGCTACCAACTCAAATATTGAGATACTTCAGCGTTACAAATCAAAAACTTTGCGACACATTGTCAATGCTCCTTTTACGTATCTAATGCAAATATCCAAAAAGATCGTAATATTCCAACCATTAAAGAAGAAATAAAGAAAACTAGTAAGAAATACATCGACAGACTCCACAACCACGAAAATATTTTAGCCTTAAGTCTATTAGACAATAGCTTAACAGTAAGAAGACTGAAAAGGTACCCCACTCTCGATCTCCCCGATAGATAAATCCAACAAACTGAAAAGACGTTATATATAATACCAGGGCTCATTGGAAAACTGCTATTTCTGTTAATTGAATATTAACTGTTTAAACAAACAGATTGTAAATAAAAAGAGAGAGAAAAAAGCCCGCACACAAAAAAAAACAAATATAAGCTGCGGGACGGGGTGGGTTTAGTCACTGCAAATTAATTTCATNCACCGCAGGCGTCCCACAAGGAAGCGTATTGGGACCAATTCTCTACACCCTATATACGGCCGACATTTCAGTTACAAACAACTGCACTGTTGCAACATATGCTGATGATACAGCCGTTTTTGCCACAAGCACATCTATAAATGAAGCTTCCGAACTCCTGCAGAGTGAGCTAAGCCTAATTGAAGACTGGTTCCATCGATGGAAAATTAGAATCAACTTCCTGAAATTCGTCCAAATAACGTTTTCATTTTGAGCAGGTAACTGCCCAAATGTAACACTTAACGGCTCACCAATTCCACAAAGTACCTGTGTGAAGTATCTTGGCTTGCATCTCGACCGCAGATTAACATGGAAAAACCACATTTAAGGAAAATGTCAACAACTCTAAAACTAAAACACTAAAAATGTCCTGGTTGATAAGTCGAAAATCAGAAACCACTTTGGAAAACAAAATTCACCTCTAAAAATCCATACTGAAGCCTGTTTGGACCTACGCTATACAGCTCTATGGGACTGCTACCAACTCAAATATTGAGATACTTCAGCGTTACAAATCAAAAACTTTGCGACACATTGTCAATGCTCCTTTTACGTATCTAATGCAAATATCCAAAAAGATCGTAATATTCCAACCATTAAAGAAGAAATAAAGAAAACTAGTAAGAAATACATGGACAGACTCCACAACCACGAAAATAATTTAGCATAAAGTCTATTAGACAATAGCTTAACAGTAAGAAGACTGAAAAGATACCACATTCTCGATCTCCCCGATAGATAAATCCAACAAACTGAAAAGACGTTATATATAATACCAGGGCTCATTGGAAAACTGCTATTTCTGTTAATTGAATATTAACTGTTTAAACAAACAGATTGTAAATAAAAAGAGAGAGAAAAAAGCCCGCACACAAAAAAAAACAAATATAAGCTGCGGGACGGGGTGGGTTTAGTCACTGCAAATTAATTTCTTCATTGTGGCTATAATAATGATCCTGATAGATATGGCCATTCCCTACGGAATTTTGGCGTTTTTAGTTTTCTTTTATCTTCAAAATTATAGATTTGGGAGGTTTTCGCCCTTTTACGGGGGCGGAAGGGGGCGTGGCTCATTTTTGAAATACACTTGTAACAGTGTGAGCAACATTTGGTGGCTCTAGCTTTTATAGTCTCTGAGATCCAGGCGCTCAACAAGACGGACGGACGGACAGACGGACGGACAGACAGACATGGTTCAATCAAATCTATTGATGCTGATCAAGAATATATATACTTTAGGCGTCGGAAACGTTTCCTTCTGTGCGTTACATACAACCGTTATTCCCCACAAATACAATATACCCCATTTACTCTTCGAGTACCGGGTATAAAAAGTTACACCATTTGCAATAAATTTACTTTTTTCTTTGCGTTTTCGATGGCTTCGCGAAAAACTGTCAAGTAATTATTCTGCATTCCGTGGAAATCAAGTTTTTACACAGCTTTAGTGGAAAAGTTTTAACGCACAATCTGTGTAAGGGATCCGAAGGGATCCCATCCCTTTTACCAGCGCGACCTACCACGACCCTACCCCACCTGAGAACTCTCAACGGCATCGCACCATCAGCGCTGATTTCTTGCTACACGTGACTGATATTTTGAAGGGTAATACTCCCTGATATATGTATATATATCGATGGGTTATACCTGAATTATGTATAGCAGAGGATTGCCAGTACTTCTCACCGTAAGGATGTGTGGCACACAACTTTCTTCCATGAAATTCTCAATCACTTTGCGTTGACTTTAGCTTCAATCAAATTTCAATCGTATCCTTTTTACAGTTTATTTAACCAGTATTCGAGGCAGTCATTCGTTAGCCCTTGTAAAATAAATCAACTTACTCAAAAAATTGATTTATTCATTGAACTAAAGCAAAATGGACGAGCAGGTGGAAGCTATGCGTCGTGTCAATGCGGTCCGCAACAATTACTATGCCGTTTTGAATGTGCCACAAACAGCCACGAATGATCAGATAAGTTCGGCCTACAGACAATTGTCCCGGGTGGTGCATCCCGACAAAAACAAACACCCCGGTGCCACTGATGCCTTCCAGGTGATAGCCAGCGCCAAAGATGTCTTAATGGACGTCACCAAACGTCATCATTTTGATCAATTAGACAAGCCCTTGACTGAAACATAAGAGGCAATGGCAATGTCAGCCACCAAGGCAGACCTTATGAGCAACCTTATGAGCAACTCAAACAATCAACGATCGAAATTTGCAGTTGGCTACCAATTCTTCTACGACAACGCTGTTATCATTGTCGTGCTGATAATCGTGCTGATTATAATCATCTTTATACTCAAAATGCCCATGTATAGCCTGAAGAGTAACTGCACAACATCCAACAAAGCTGTTCTATCCTAAAATATAAATTTAACAAAATTACATTAAAATATTTATTAATAGCGCTTGCGAAACACTCACCAGTGTTGATATATGCTGCATACTTCGCTCCTGCAATTTACTGTGTACGACACATCTTACATATGTATGGGATGGGGAAGTCTCGTTCAAGAAGCAAGTATAAAGGAGGGCCCGTCGGCTTTTTTGAAGGAAACGTAACAATGCTGTCAATAAGTGCGAGTGAAAGGGCTCTCGATGTAAGTGTGAGTGAAACGCCAATGGAGTGTGTGCCTGAAGCACTGAGCTCGGGGGGAAATGACCCGAGGAACGGTGCCGACGACGCGCCCTCCTTATAGTTGCTTCATGGTCTCGTGTGCAGTTGTTTTAGTTTTTTGTTTTTTTTGGTTTTTTTTTTTACAATATCCACTATGAACTTTTACACTAAAGTTACACTTTTTGAGTCGAAGTTGCCTTAGCAAAAACATTCAATTCGTAAAGATATATAAACACAAAACAAAAGCAAACCAAACATTGGTTACTGATAAGCAATTACAAAGTGTTGTTGTTATCATGAACGACGACAAAGACGACACAACGGTTTGGAACTGGCGGAGAGTAAAACCGAAGCTGTAACGGACACGGGAAGTGTCGTCACGTCAGCACTCTCTGTCTACTAAAGGTTGGCCGGCTAGGCTCAGGGAAAATGGGGTGGGTGTTTTGCTGCGAAAACGAACTCCGTCACCTAACCAAATCGTAGACAGATTTACGGGAACTGGGATCGGAATTACAAACCCGGACGGAACTCAAGGTCCACCACCTACTGTGAAGAGCAAGGTGGTTGTAGAATAACATAAGAATATGCCATTATGGTTCTACCCAAAACCTGCCGCTGCTGCCTATGTGCCTTAGGAACCCCTCCCAAAAATCAGATTAGAAATTCATGTTAAATCGTTATAATTTTACTTTGACTTGTAAGACTTCAGGTTGTTTGTAACCCCCATTATTTCTACCCTAACCCTTAAACCTATTTTTACTTCATGTGTATATATATGTGGGACTAATTTAATACATAGGAATTCAAGAGAATGATCAAATATGAATAAAAATAATATAATCAAAATATAAAGTAAGAATGAATTAATTAAATGAATTAAATGGCATAATTGTAGTAATTCATTTTATATATGGTTAAGCATGCATGTCTCACTGTGTAGACGCTATTCTCCTGACCCGGAGTGTATGTGTATATATGTGTGTATACTTACAGACTTTTAAACAGCTGTTGGTGTCGTTGGGCCCAATTTCACGTTCGCAATACAAACAATACAAAGAAATGTAGAAATATGCAAAATAACAAGAAGCGTTATGAAGAGGTATTTAACCAATACCCTTGCATGGACACAATGAGACCGATGATGCACCCTTTTAGAATCTATTATTAACTAGGCATAAATTTCATGTTTTTCTTCTTCTATTTCTAAGTTAATGTCTAGGAATATTTAATATTATTGAACAATTTTCTTTTCTATTTTTTTCTTCTATCCATAATTTTTCATTAAATTTTCTTTTCTAGATTTTTGTGATTTACTTTTCTTCCCTTAAGTGGCTTTTAGAATGTCGGCATCGAACAATTTTAATAACCTGAGAGAAGGAGAGAATAGGTGACATACGGTCAGGTGGGTCTATTTAAGTGCGCTTAGGTGTATGGTCAGCCGCAAGGGCATTGACCGCTGAGCTAATTTTTCCACACCCTACATATGCAAGCAACAACATTTTCTTTACACAAGGCGCGGTGATATAATATATTAGATGGTTTTATATTATCGTTGTTGTTGAGCGGCTTAGTTGCGCGTTAGATATAAACAACTCGGTCCCGATCGCCAAGTCCATCCGTTTCTCGGCCTGCATGCAAGGTCCGGTGGCACCGAAAAGAAGGAAGAAGATGATCGTGGTACTGGAGCGGACCACCCTCCGAGACCGAGGGTCAGGCCAGGTCAGCAATTTCCTGCCACACGTGGATCATAACCTATGTACAGTACATACATGGAATTATGTAATAAGGTCACTTTTCATTTTTTTTTTTGCGTACCTTATCCAGGGGTTGGTTTTTAAGTTTTTGTCTTTGCAGCCACAACACTTTTAAAATTGTTTTTATTTGGTTTATGTTCCCTTTTATGGTTTTCCAAAATTTTCACCTAGTTTTTTTTTTATGTATATTTTCTACACGCACATTAATTAAGTCTTCCAACTTTGAATGCAATTTTTGTTCTGTGCAGCATGCACTTAGCCTTACTATTTTACCCCTCGAAAAGCTGTGTATGAGAGAGCTAAGAAGGTTCTCGAAGGGCTAGCCGTAAGCTATGCTTGCGGAGAGAAAAGCTCACATGTGAACGGCGCTCGCACGTGCAATTTCGAAAGAAAGAACTTTTCAAGATAAAAGCTTCTGATCTTGCATGTGGGCTCTCGCTGGAATGCGTACAGTGGGGGAGGTTCCATATTTTCTCGATAAAATTAGAAGACTGTTCTAAGAAAATTTATCCTAATACAATTTTTGTACAGACATTCTAACTTTTTGTTTTTGGTCTGAAAGCTTCACAAAGCCAAAGGTAATCAAGAGACAAAACCAAGCCTCTCCGATTCTACTAAAGAAAAAAATCGATCTGGACTTAGCACCAGCAGCAGCACCAGCTCCAAACAAAATGCCCTCCTAAGCGACAGCACGCCAAATAACGGATATGAAGACGAAAACAAAAACGAAGCACTGGACATGATAACTGAAGATACCTTAAATGAATCTGCCAAGCCGCCACCTATATTCTTATCTGAAGTCATATAAAAGGAATGCTGGTTTACCTCGAAACTACAATTAAAAAAGAGCTTTTGTTTTATAAAGTACAACGCGATGGTCATGTGAGTGTTATGGTAAAGTATATTGAAGAATACAGGAAACTTGTTAAAACTCTTACTAAAGATTTTGTCAAATTTCACACATACCAACTTAAACACGAGAGGGCATTCAGAGTTGTTATTAAGAATTTGCACTTCTCCACGAATATCGACTTAATCAAACAAGATGTGGAGTTCAAAGGTCACGCTGTTAGAAACATTAGTAATATTAAAAGTCGTGTAATCAAAGAGCCATTGAATTTGTTCTACTTAGACATTGAGCCCAACAATAAGAACTTAGATATATACAAAGTTAAACTCATTGGTAACGCAGTTGCTAATATAGAACCACTCCGCAAAACCAAAGAAATCGTTCAGTGTTATCGTTGCCAGGAATTTGGACACACAAAGTCATGTTGTGCCAAAACTCACAGATGTGTGAAATGCTCTCTTAACCATCCCAGCAACGTTTGCCCAAAATATAAAGAGCAGTTGCTAGTTACAAAGGGTGTAAAGTCTATCAGGATCATATATAAAAAAAAATAGTAAGCGGACGCAACCACCAGAGAAACACCAAAGATGACTATAATAATATTATAATAATCCGACCCAACAACCCAAAGATTACCAATCATACGCTCAAGATGCTGCAGGAAATAGTACCTCGAACAAGTCTCCAGAAGAATAGAACAGCCTTTAGAAAAACAATCTCAATTTACCAATAATTTACTTAACATGATAATGTTACTTGTTAATAAGCTATGCAAGTAAATCTAAACTTAGGAATATGGAATGCCAATGAGCTTTACAACCATATAAATGAAATAGCTTTATTTTTAAAAACGAATGCCATTGACGTCCTGCTTATTTCAGAAACACACTTCACTAGCAAATCTTTTTTTAAAGTTATTGGATACGACACAGTAAGAGCTGACCATCCATCAGATAGAGCTCATGGAGTTGCTNTAAACTCATTGGTAACGCAGTTGTTAATATAGAACCACCCCGTAAAACTAAAGAAATCGTTCAGTGTTATCGTTGCCAGGAATTTGGACACACAAAGTCATATTGTGCCAAAACTCACAGATGTGTGAAATGCTCTCTTAACCATCCCAGCAACGTTTGCCCAAAAGATAAAGAGCAACCAGCAAAATGTGCCAACTGCAACGAAGATCATGCTGCTAGTTACAAAGGGTGTAAAGTCTATCAGGATCTTATATCAAAAAAAATAGTAAGCGGACGCAACCACCAGAGAAACACCAAAGATGACAAAAATAAAAATGACCATGGTACATATCAATCATTTGCTCCGTCTAATAATTCGACCCAACAACCCAAAGATTACCAATCATACGCTCAAGTTGCTGCAGGAAATAGTAACTCGAACAAGTCTCTAGAAAGAATAGAACAGCTTCTAGAAAAACAATCTCAACTTACCAATAATTTACTTAACATGATAATGTTACTTGTAAATAAGCTATGCAAATAAATCTAAACTTAGGAATATGGAATGCCAATGGGCTTTCCAACCATGTAAATGAAATAGCTTTATTTTTAAAAACGAATGCCATTGACGTCATGCTTATTTCAGAAACACACTTCAGCAAATCTTTTTTTTAAGTTACTGGATACGACACAGTAAGAGCTGACCATCCATCAGATAGAGCTCATGGAGTTGCTGCAATTATTGTCAAGCAGGGCCTTGAATTTCAAATCATGGACAGTATTGGGGAAAACGCTATGCAGGCTGCCACAATTCAGATAAAATGTATGCACGCAGATGTATCAATAACAGCGATTTATCTCCCACCACGATTCACAATAAAATAACTCGATTTTCAAAACTTTTTCCAAGGACTGGGAACAAAGTTTATCGTGGGAGGCGACTTCAATGCCAAACATCCATGGTGGGGATCCAGATTAACTAACCCGAAGGGATCGGAGTTATACAAATGCATACGAAACAATAACATAACGACTTTGTCAACTGTGTGCCCATATACTGGCCAACTGATAGTCGAAAAATTCCACAAATACAATTCATCAACAACCAAACCAATTGTACCTTTCAACCGAACTTCGACAAAAAATACAAAATAAAAGAAATCTGCGAAAACGCTAGCAAGAAACTCACTACTCTGCTGACAAAAGATTATAAAACACGGCTGGATCTGAGCTTAGACAACTGCTGTCGAACTTAAGCAATGAATCTCTAGCTGAGTATCTGAGAAACTTAGACCCTAATTCCAGCAACAATGAATACAACCTATGGAGGGCGGCTAAATACCTAAAGAAACCAGCTAAAAGAATAATAAATATTCGCAAAAGCAACGAACTTGGTGTAGGTCTAATAATGAACAAGCGGAAGCATTTGTACAACATCTGCACTCTGTGTTTCAGCCAAACGATATAAATAATTATATAACAGAGACTGAGTCACCCTGCCAAATGAGCTTGCCTATTAAAAGCATCAAATATGAAGAAGTTGTGACAGAAATCAAATGCTTGAACATTAGAAAAGCACTAGGCCCTTATAAAATATATGGTATCACCCTAAAGAGTTTACCACCAAAATGCATTGGGTTTCTCACTCTTATATTTAACGCTATTCTCAGACTAGACCACTTTCCAAGTCAATGGAAATGTGCAGAAATCGTTATGATCCTAAAGCCAAACAAAATAGAAACGGAATTGACATCATACCGGTCCATTAGTCTGTTGACAATATTCTCGAAAGTGTTTGAAAAAATACTATTGAAGATAATGTTGCCATTTTTGGACGAACTTTCCATCATTCCTGAATACCAATTCGGATTCAGGAGGGGTCACAAGACCCCTGAGCAATGTCACAGGGTTATTAATGATATAGTTTCGGCACTTGAAAACAAAAAATACTGCACTGCTGCATTTCTTGATGTTCAACAAGCGTTCGATCGAGTCTGGCACAAAGGTTTGTTGTACAAGATAAAGAAATGGCTACCTGCTCCGTACTATTTATTAATAAAATCATATCTCGCTAAAGGATGCTTTTACGTGCAGCAGAAAACCGATACTTCATCACTACTTCTCATCACCGCAGGCGTCCCACAAGGAAGCGTATTGGGACCAATTCTCTACACCCTATATACGGCCGACATTTCAGTTACAAACAACTGCACTGTTGCAACATATGCTGATGATACAGCTGTTTTTGCCACAAGCACATCTATAAATGAAGCTTCCGAACACCTGCAGAGTGAGCTAAGCCTAATTGAAGACTGGTTCCATCGATGGAAAATTAGAATCAACTTCCTGAAATTCGTCCAAATAACGTTTTCATTTTGAGCAGGTAACTGCCCAAATGTAACACTTAACGGCTCACCAATTCCACAAAGTACCTGTGTGAAGTATCTTGGCTTGCATCTCGACCGCAGATTAACATGGAAAAACCACATTTAAGGAAAATGTCAACAACTCTAAAACTAAAACACTAAAAATGTCCTGGTTGATAAGTCGAAAATCAGAAACCACTTTGGAAAACCAAATTCGCCTCTACAAATCCATACCTGTTTGGACCTACGCTATACAGCTCTGGGGGACTGCTAGCAACTCAAATATTGAGATACTTCAGAGTTACCAATCAAAAACTTTGAGACACATTGTCAATGCTCCGTTTTACGTATCTAATGCAAATATCCAAAAAGATCTTAATATTCCAACCATTTAAGAAGAAATAAAGAAAACTAGTAAGAAATACATCGACAGACTCCACAACCACGAAAATATTTTAGCCTTAAGTCTATTAGACAATAGCTTAACAGTAAGAAGACTGAAAAGGTACCCCACTCTCGATCTCCCCGATAGATAAATCCAACAAACTAAAAATATGTTATATATAATAGCAGGGCTCATTGGAAAACTGCTATTTCTGTTAATTGAATATTAATTATACAATTTACTTATTGTTTAAAAAAACAGATTGAAAATATAAAGAGAGAAAAAAAAAAAGAAGCTTAATGTTTTTCATTGGTAAGCTAAAACCACAAAGTGTTTTAGTACACTTTATAGATGCGTTCTTCAGCTTTATATAATGACTTAGTTCATAACAACCAGATTTATTGTACTTAAGGTATGTGAAAAAGAAGAAGATATATTGTAAAATTGTTAATAAATATTGAGGACATAAAATATAATTTTTGCTCAACCTTTTCTGAGCTTTTAAAGCAAAAAAATCAAAAAAACCTCACAAAAATCAAGATTTTTGCATTTAGAAGCTTAATGTCTTTCATCGGTATGCTAAAACCACAAAGTGTTTGGGTAAACTTAATAGATGCGTTCTTCAGCTTTATAGAATGACTTAGTTCATAACAACCAGATTTAGGGTACTTAAGTTATGTGAAAAAGAAGCGCTACCCCAGTATTCTTGAGAATAAATTCTGCCATAGAAAAATATAAAAACGAGAAGGGACGTGTGAGACGCATCTTAGGCGTCACAACTTTTATACCCGGACTCAGTCAGTGTACCTGTCCATATTGTTTATTTTTAGAATTTGAAATTTGAAATTTTACATTTTTTCTACACCTGTCATCTACATCTAATTAATTTCTCACGACAACGGCAGAAGCAGAGACGCAGCAGAGGCAGAGGCCGCACACTGCAGAAGCAGAGTGAGAATGAAAGAATGTGAAACAACAAGAAAAGCGTCTGGACGGGGTGGGTTTAGCCACTGCAAATTAATTTCTTCATACTGGCTATAATAATGATCCAATCGCATCCCAATTTGGTGATTTGATATGTATGGTCATTCCCTACGGAAAAGCTTTCTCTTTTATTTCTCTTTTATCTACAAAATTGTAGCTTTGGGAGGTTTTCGCCCTTTTGCGGGATCGGAAGGGGGCGGGACTAATTTTTAAAATACTCTGGTTTCAGCATACAGCAGTCTGGAGGCAAAATTTGGTGGCTCCAGCTCTTATAGTCTCTGAAAACTAGCCGACAAACAAGACGGACAGACAGACATGTCTCTATCGATTCGGCTATTGATGCTGATCAATAATATATATACTTTATGGGGTCGGAAACGTTCCCTTCGGTGCGTTACATCCACTTTGTGCACAAATACAATATACATTTTTTTCTATTCGAGTACCGGGGATAATTATCATCAAACTATTTCTAAGCCCCATATCTTCCAGAAAAAGTTAGTCTTGATCGATTCTATGATTCAATGTAATTTAATGTACAAACCACGAACTGCCCAGTCGGACCGCCTATAAGTGGTTGCGAAAAAGAATTGATCTTTTATCCCACCCTTTTAGAATATGTAGAACCTATAAATAAACCCCAAAATAAGCGTTCTTTCATGCATCTTTTTCCACCAAGTAACCAGAACAGCTTCCCGATCTTTCGGTTTTTTTCCGAAGGACAACATACCTCTTCTTTCATGCTTTTGGAAAGCAGAAATTCACGCATCGAAAAAGTTTCAGGCGAACGCATAGAAGAACAAAAAAGAAGAAAGGCAATTTTCAAAAATGCTGTTTCTCGTTCTCTTTTCTTCTCGCTAATGAGAACGTGCATACAGATTTGATCATCTGAAAAGCAGTAAATAACTAAAAATTTAAATTTTAAATCAATATTTAATTACGTAAGTATTAGCAGAGTGTTAATGCAGTTTGACTGCATCTAAAGAATATGAAAGAAACAACGATGTAGTGTGGTAAGTGCGCTGAATTTTCCAGAAGAAAAAAAAACAACGCGAAAACGTCCCTCATAGTGTACTCGTGCTAAGTGGAAAAGGGAGCGATACAGAAGTACTGTTTCGAAGCAACTAATTCCGACTGGGTGGGTCCTGCTCCTACCCGCTCGTAGTGCCACACCCCTCCGCTGACTCTCTTGATCTCATAGTATGAATTAGCTATATTGAAGATAAGGCCATGAACAGACTGAGAGGCTGTACCCCGGCTTCAGAGGGGAAAGCTTCGTTACACGGGGATTACATTAAAATAAAGATCACTTAAGAGCAACTGCTCGAGTGCGATTTTTGGAATAAAACGAGGAGGAGTCAGTATACACATAGAAATGAATGTACATACATACATATATATGTAACCTTACGATTATTTTCAAATTTAACATTTTTTTTATCCATCTGCCATCTGCAACTACATACATACATATATCACTTCTCACACCAACACGCCCTTTTAGCTCACACCCTTCTACCAGAGCCGAACAGTGCCTATGGTAGAGTGTGTAAGCCAGAGAGAATGAGCCAAAAATAAACAAAGCTGCTGAAAGGGGGTGTGGGCTTGCCACTCGACGTGATTTTCGTGATTTTGGCTATAACAACGATCCTTATTTGGGGATCTGCATTTTTAGTTTTCTTCGTCTGCGCAAGCTAATTTCGGTTAAATGTTATATCACTGTTACCACCTTATTAATATTTTAAATTGTACAAAAAAGGAAAACTAAAACCCATTATACATTTGAACATTTTGTGGGTTTACACTTGTTTTCTTCATCTGTCAGCTACATTTCTTCCCAGACCAACGCGCCCTTTTATTTTATTATTCTCTGTCAGAGGGCCGCTGATCGAGGTAGTGTGTTTGAGCAAGACAGAGAATGTGCTAAAAGCTGCGTCGCTGGATGATAACTTATAATAACATTCCGATCTGATCGAGTTTTTCAAATCTCATTGAAATGAGAGTAACCATATCTATCAGATCACAGAATTTGAATTAGATTGGATCATTATTATAGCCATAATGAAGAAAGTCATTTGTAGAGGCTTCCCCCTACCCCTTCCAGCAGCTTTGCTTATTTTTTGCACATTCCACTATGGGTAAAAAGCCCGTATTTTTGGCATTTATGTAATTTTTTTTTGGGTAAAAGTTGCTTTGACTTGTGAAAAAGTGCGGGAAAAAGTGAGCAACTTGCAGCTGTAATTGTAGCTCGATTTGAAAGTTTATATACAAGTAAAAATATGGAAATAACAGGTCGAGGTATTTAAATTTAAATAGTTAATACATTTTTTTGTATAGTTGTGTGTAGTTATTTAATTGTCCAATGTTTTGTTCGTTTGTCTTTTTAGCTTGGTACTAACAATTGCACGTGTTGTCTGTGGAATATTACTTTTGCACAGCACACCGCTGCACAGAAGTTCAAGTTACTTGTTATTAACCAAATATTATAGAATCACGTTGTGTTCATGCTTTTTGCCCGTTTTTGCCCCTTTTCTATACATTTTAAATTTTGCAGATGCTTGTGAGTGCACTCATGCAGCGCTGCTGGAGGTCTGGACCAACAACAATCGTGAAGCAGACGCAATAAAATGTTGTATTTTAAAGAGTATTGAAAAAACCTGACTAACTAAATATGAAACTATTTATTGCCTATTTAAACAAGTACTAAGCGAAATGCAATCGTTGGAGCGATTCCAATCAAATTACTTTTAACCTAACAATCATTTAATCAGTCAATCAAATATATTTTTTTAAAGTTCTAAAATGTTTTAAAAGGGGTATAATCATAATTAATCTTTTGAATAAATTGTTTTATAATAAATTACGACGTAAATGGGTTCCAGTTCGTATGGGGCCGGAGGTGGGCGTTTTCCAAAAGACTACATTTTTTTCCGAAATTTTACTTTAGTCTAACGAACATTCATGCCATTTTGTAGAGCTCTAGCTAGCTCTTTTGGTTTGGTTAAGGCCAAAAAAAGGCCATAGTGCATTCTCTCATTCCAACTTGGGGAGGAGGGCGAGATAAAAGAGCGTGTTTTCGTGAGAACTTCTGTATATGTAAACGTAGATGACATTTGTAGAAAAAATTTAAAATTTCAAATTTGAAAGAAACCACTAAGTTTAAGGTGCACTACTGAGTACCGGGTACAAAAGTTGTGATGCGCAAGAAACGTCTCATACGTCCCTTCTCGTTGGATATCCGAATTTGAATATTTGGAATAGTAAATGTAAAAGCATACATATATGTACAAAGGTACAAAACTATTTGCTAAAGTCCTTTTAGACATGGGCGCGGTCGAATAGGCAACAGAGTAGCAAGTCAGCGTATTTCTGTATGGGGATGAAAGAATAACCACACAAAAATAAATGTAGCTTGTTCTTTTTTTATTTGATCAGAAATTATGGTGTAGAGCACTAAAACGTAGTATTAACTGGTGTTACTGTGGTGCTTTATCAATGGTTAATAAGAGCATTTGTGTCGCGCTCTTTTTTATTTTTTGATTTGATGTTTTTTATCACTACTTCTGTTTGCCAATACGAAAAATAAATAATTATGTATGTAAATATGCACATGCATGCATAAATAGTTGCACATGTAAATAAACACATATGTTGGTAAATATGTACATACATATGTGTGTGTATATTTTAAAATTATCCATAACACTGGGGGACCTACATATGTCGCAAATATGTATGTTGGTAAATATGTACGTAAGTATGTACATATGTATATAAATAAATACATATGTATGTGTATTAATACAGTTAAAAAGCTGTATGATAATGGAAGGTAAATGTGAATCTAAGATTTCATCAAAAGTTGTTATTCAACTTTATAGAGTTTCATAATACTCTGGATGTATTTTTGATACTTTGTTTATTTAAAGAGAGTTTGATATAAATACATATATAAGTCGATAATCGTATGCAATTATAAAAACTCTGATCCGTTCAAACAAAACTTTTAAGAAAAACTACACGTCGGAGAATTGTACACATATTACAGAATATATACATGTGTATACAAATATATTTTAACAAATATATCTAAACGTCGCCGTTGCTCGAATTATTTCCGAGCTAGCGAGATCGATAGCTACTCTCTCGTCAGTACTAGATGTCAATGTGCTTTTTGAAAAATTTTATATGACAGTTATACCATTTTCATACATTTACTGATATATAACGTATATACAATGCACAATGTAAAGAAAATTAAGTGATTTCACTAATCAGGAGATCTGTATGTGTAGCCTACAGCTTGACGGAATAGTCGATCTTGTCATCCAGAATGGGGCCACAGGCCGCTCAATGGCAATCTACATCGTCTCACTGGTCGCAACACTTACGATTGACCAGCTCGAAGGAGGATTATCTTGGCATTGAAGCCCCAGCAGTCGATGCTCTCCTGCACCTGTTGCTGCAACTGGAGGGGCACTGTTATCCATGAGAGAATATGAGCAAGCTGACGGTGACTAGCGGGAGAGGGTGGAGCTGGCCACAGCCAATAATATTTTCATTACGGCTGATGATTCGATCTAATCCAGAGTCTGCATGTCTTCAGATGTCTTCAAAATTGTGGATACCAGAGTTTTTTACCTTAGGGGCGGCTGAAGAGGGAACATTTTTGGAATTCACTTATTAAAGTGGGATATGACAGCGGTCTTGATGCAAACTTTGGTTGCTCTAGCTCTTATAGACTCTGACAACTAGACGGACAACCAGACATGGATATATCGACGCGGCTAGTATTAAATATACCTTATGGGGTCGGAAATGTTTAATTGCGTGCCTTACACACATGATATACCACTTAACTCTTCGAGTACCGGATATAAAAATACAACTAAGTGAATTAACTAAGTGACGCTGATAAACTTAGAGTATTTATTTTCTATGCGTACAAGACACCTTCACATCAAGTGAAAGTAGATGGAAAAGAACAGGCATTTCGTGGAGGAATGTTTAATAAAGGTTTACTTACGCTAGACTTCGTCACACTTTGCCACACTACATCTAAACCTGCTCAAATCGGTATCAGAGGAGACGTTCTCCCGAACAGGGATGGGGTCAGTCATTGACCTGTCCTTCTGCAGCAACACTTTCCTCAAGAGTACAACGTGGTACCTCAGCACTGCATTGAAATGAATGTAATGAAAATATTATTGGCTGTGGCCATCTCCACCCTCTCCCGCTAGTCACCGTCAGCTTGCTCATATTCTCTCATGGATAACAGTGCCCCTCCAGTTGCGGCAACAGGTGCAGGAGAGCATCGACTGCTGGGGCTTCAATGCCAAGATAATCCTCCTGCGAGCTGGTCAATCGTAAGTGTTGCGACCAGTGAGACGATGTAGATTGCCATTGAGCGGCCTGTGGCCCCATTCTGGATGACAAGATCGACTATTCCGTCAAGCTGTAGGCTACACATACAGATCTCCTGATTAGTGAAATCACTTAATTTTCTTTACATTGTGCATTGTATATACGTTATATATCAGTAAATGTATGAAAATGATATAACTGTCATATAAAATTTTTCAAAAAGCACATTGACATCTAGTACTGACGAGAGAGTAGCTATCGATCTCGCTAGCTCGGAAATAATTCGAGCAACGGCGACGTTTAGATATATTTGTTAAAATATATTTGTATACACATGTATATATTCTGTAATATGTGTACAATTCTCCGACGTGTAGTTTTTCTTAAAAGTTTTGTTTGAACGGATCAGAGTTTTTATAATTGCATACGATTATCGACTTATATATGTATTTATATCAAACTCTCTTTAAATAAACAAAGTATCAAAAATACATCCAGAGTATTATGAAACTCTATAAAGTTGAATAACAACTTTTGATGAAATCTTAGATTCACATTTACCTTCCATTATCATACAGCTTTTTAACTGTATTAATACACATACATATGTATTTATTTATATACATATGTACATACTTACGTACATATTTACCAACATACATATTTGCGACATATGTAGG